TTTTTGAGAGATTATTTTTTTTTATCATTGAAGAAGATACTGCTCTTGAAAAGTTTTGAAAGAGATTTTGGAGAGTTTATTGAAATCATTTTTGTCGATTGTTTTCATCTCTTGTAAGTTTCTACTTTTCTTGAATGAATACAATTATTGTTTTTATTTCATTTAGAATGAGCAGCTAAACTCCACAACCAAGGATTGTGGGATCCATGATGACTTAACCTAAAACAAGGAAATACATGGACTAAAATTTGCACTGTAAGCGTATATCTTGTTAACTCTTTTGTTTAATTCAATTTCTAATGGTTTCAAATATTAGGACCTCCCCTGGGTTTGACTAGTTTGAGTAAAATAGTGTAAAACTTGGGAAAAGAGTTAATGACAAAATTTGAAGACATGAACCCATCTAATAGTTAATGTTGTAGCAAGATTAGCTACTTGAGTCACTATCATCAAATTGAGATAAACACTTTTAGTTTGAGAGAATGAACGTGATATGCAGTTGATGTGGTTGAGAAACTATTAACTGTCGTTGAGGTTGATATACCAGTATATTACACGGTGGAGAATCTAGGTCTATAATTTACCCAAAAAATTGGTTAGAAAGTCATGTTGAACACAATCCTGGTTAATTCTCCATAATTATCTTAAATCAAGAGTTATTGTTAAGCGTTACTTGTTACTGATCAAATTACAACTAAATACCAAAACTTCCTCCATTTCCCATTTTGTTTAAGAAATAAGTACCTAACAGTCAAATAACCACATAAGGCTTAGTTCTCACCTTATTCCTTGTGGGATTCGACCCCAACCTTGTTGGGTTCTATATTTGCCAACGACTGCTTTATACTTCTTAATTGAAGTACTGTAAATTTGGGCATATTAGTAATATAATTTCTGATAATAAATGAGATCTGGGTCACTTAATTTACCAAAATTTTTGGTTGAAAATATAAGTACACTACCAATTAGTATTAACTAGTCCACGTGTCCATACATACCAATATGGATGTCAATTAATAATGGATACTTCTCCGACTCCTAAGTTTTGCAGTAAATTAGAAAGAGAAGAGTTAGATCTCTTATAATCTAATTGATATTGTTACATGCCCCAAGTTTGTTTCATGTTCATGCAGTCTTTATCGATTTTAGATTAAAAAAAAAGAATTAAGCCATTGGCCCTTTAGAATGACTTAAATTAATTTGGGATTTGTTCTGGTACCTTTAAGGGAGTTTTTTTTAAATGTAAACAAGGGATCATGAGCTGCGTGGTAGGGAACCCGCTTTGGGCTTATGTTGCACCTATCTCAGAAGTTTAGAAACAATAAAAATCATACACAATACACGATGGGGGGAACACCTTGGACCCCCTTGTGGCACATTGGACGGTGCACCATTCCCTCTTCGTATCTAAGGAACTTCAATTATGATTTAGTAGCTTATAGTTCAGTTAAGCAGTTTATCTTTCAGGCAGTCCAGGATCTTGTCCTAAGAGATTCATAGACACTAGTAGTTAGTTGTTTTCAGTTCAGCCATTCACATTTGATCCCAATGTTTTCATTTTTTTTAATCATAGAAGAGATTTTCAGCAGTTTAGTCCATTACTATTATTAGTCCATTACTATCATTCTCAACTTCTGCATTATTCAGCTAAACCACTAGTTAGCGCTTAGCCACCGACTACTGCAGATGTTGAGTTCAGAGGAGCTATTCCAATACTCTCTTAGGTTGTTGTAGCATAGTCTCGATGTCACGGCATAGTTTTCCATGAATGGTAATTTGCATGATTTAGTTGGCACTTGGAGGTTTCGAGAGTTTCTCTACAAGAATCCTCCTGTTTTCATAGGTCAAAGGTTAAGGAAGACCTTTTAAATATCATTGATGAGGTGAAGAAAACACTAAGGGTAATGCATGCCAGTGAAACATAGGGATTTATCTTGCCAACTATCAATTAAAGGATGTAGCAAACACTTGGTATGAACATGAGAGTTGATTTGTGGGGAAGAAGCAACTCCTATTGAATGAAATTGTTTTATGGATGCTTTACTTGATCCCTTCTTGCCTATGTAGTTTAGGGAAGCAAAGGATGAGGAGTTCATGAGTATCAAACAGGAAGAAACGAGTGTGAAAGAGTATAGCCTCAAGTTCATTCAGCTATCTCGATATACTCTCAGAGTGGTGTCGACCATGAGGGAAAGGATGAAGAGTTTGTGTCAAGAATGGAAAGATGTGTATCTAAGGAGTAAGCTGCAACCATGTTTCACATGCAAGGATATGGATATCTCCAGACTTATGGTTTATGCCCAACAGGTTAAGGTGGAAAAGTTGTGTTGGATTGAGAAAGATTTTTATGATTGATAAAAGAGGGAACACATGCAAATAACTGGTTCATCCAAAATGTCCCTAACCAAACAGGGTCCAAGTGGAATTAGGAGAAGAAGGCTTCATCCGGCGAAAGAAAGTTGAGGCGGTAGAAGGCTAAGGCGGTGGATGAAGCATAAAAGGAAATCCAAACCTACAAGGGAAGGGAAGGAGTAAAAGGTCACCCACTTCGACTCAAAGAAGGAGAGATTTAGTACAAGGGTAGGATTTTCTACAAAAAAGGTTTGCGCACTTACATAGAGAAGAGATACAATCATAACACAATCAAGTAAGAGATAGTTCATATTTCAGAGAGTTGTGATTGGAGATTTCAAGGTGCTGCAGAAACAGAGAAACAAAATTGAAGAACCTCTTCCATAGGATTGATTTTTCTAGTTAGGTAGTTTTGTTTGTTGGTTGTTGAGTTATTGTCTTTTTTATTCCATAGCTTAGGCTAGTTTTCGAGTTGGGGTAACTTGAAGACTTGGAGAATATAATCGTGGGGGTTTGTGCTTGAGATTAGGAATTAAAGTTTAGTTCATAAGATTGCAAGAACTGTAATCTAATTTTGTTTTAATTTCGGAGTTAATAGAAGTTGAGTTAAATACTACTATATTGTTGTTTTACAAGCTTTGTAGCTCCAGCTCGCAATCACAGGGGCCCACCCCGCGAGGTCAGAGTGGGCTCAGCGGTCAGCCTCCATTCGAATTATGTTAGGGCGAGCAGCCTTTAAACCAAAAAAAAAAAAAGGAGTCTCTCACTTACTTCCCCTATTTTTTTTATGCATTTCATTCTCTATTTGGCCGGCTTCTAACAAAATGAGAAAAAAGGGTCCGATCAATAGCACAACTCTTTCTTTCCCCGGTCTCCTTTCGAAGGAGAGACTTCACATTCCTAATCCAGTAGGGTCGGATGGCTTTCTTTGCCCCGGCTTGGTGAATCGCATCCGCGCACAAGGACATTCTTTGTTTGTGCGCCACTAACTAAAGAACATATAGAGCATACGTGTTCCTTAGAAGAATTGGGAGGTCTATTCTAACAAGTCCAAGTCAGCCAACAATGGGCTAGTCATCAGAGGTCTGTAATGGCAATAGGACATTGTTTCATAAGAGTTCATCTGGACCAGACTGATTGTCAGCCAGTGGACCAACACCCAAGTCTGGGAATGATAAAATATTTATATCATTAGGCTCTCAATCTCATAGCATTGTTGCAGAAGAGTTCACTTACCCAAGGAAGGGCAATGGGGGATTTAAAGGAGAATTTTTGTATATTTTTTGTTGTGATTATACAAAAGATGACAAATTAGTTATAAGAATTGAATCCACTTTTATTTGGTGGAGGCTCCCACCTAATAAACTACTCTCTCATCAGTTAATTTTTTTTTTTTATCATGATATTCATATTGATTAATCTATAATTATTAACGGGGCTTGAAAAATGATTTGAAATAAGTAGTTAATTAATGCTAAAGCTAAAATAGGAAAAAGGAGTGCTAAAATAGACAAGTAAAATCAAATATTAAATTATTATTAATACAATGAATAAATTTAGGGAAAATTGTATGAAATAACAAACTATTAATTCAAATTAAATGTTATAGCTATAGTTTATTTTAATTATAATTCGCAGCAAACATCCCTTTTTTTTGTCATCTGATTCGGTATACAATTAGTCATTTTATACATTTCATTATAAAATGTATAAAATGCGTTTGTGTTTTTATAAAGCGAGAGAAAAGTGTATATACAAATATAAATACATATATTTTCGTTCTATACACTTATAATTATACAAATACAGATCTTATTATACAAAATACAATGTATAAATGAATTTATACAAAATTGAACAATTTGTATAAAATTTGATGTTTGTAGCGAATTATACAAATCAAAAGTTCTATAGCAAATATAAAATTTGTTATGGAGCGCAATTATACAAACTATAGCTATAACATACAAATATGGTTTTTATGTTTGATATATGTGAAAGTTGCTCATAAATAAAAGTGAATGGATCGTCGGAGGAGTATATATATATGTGAAAGTTGCTCATAAATAAACCTACGATCTAAAGACTTTGGGTGCATCAACTTTAGTTGGATTTGAACCTTGGTGTCACGGGTGGTACTCTTTAGCCTTGACCAGCGGCACAAGGCACTAATATTTTCCTACTCCATATCCTAATTTCTGTGAGTTTTCCATAATAGATATACATATATATACATGACTTTTTCCGAAGTTAATGGGTGGAGGGTCCGCCTCTGGATACAACGAAAATATGATGAAATGGGTTAGTTGCAAAACTAATATATATACTTAATCGATTCAAGATTTATAGCAATATTAGTGTCTTTATTTGAACACCATGACCACATACGAACTTGGTGATTTTTTGGCAAGTCTATGATGAACATTAAAGGAAGCTCAATCAAAAAAGTATTTTTCTAGGACAGCTAGCGATGAAAAGCGTGAAAATGTTCTCCAACACATAGTGTCGTCTCAGGTGGCACTCAAATCAACGAAGATCGATTGAACAAAATGTATAGCATGAGAAGACGACTAAGATTAAAATAAGTGTTCGTAATTGAATGAATATTTTTGTTTTTACAAGGAAATAAAAGAAGATGAATTAAGAACCTGGAAGTTGAGTATTCATAGAGTCGTCCAGTATTAGAAAAGATTGTGAGTCCAACTTCAGCCTCACAAAGGATTGCTAGTTCCTTGGCTTTCTTAACTAACCCACTTTTACGTTTCGAAAACGTCACCTGTCTGCTTGCCGGATTCTCAATTCTTCTGATCACGATTTTCCCTCTTGTCATAATTTTAATTTCACCAGATGTGGTTGTTTTAGAAGCTATAGAATGAAGAGGGATTATACAGTATATGTTTAGGTACAAAACTACTTGTTTTGATAAAACCTTATATTTCAAAAGTGGTTTATGTGAGTACGTATGAGATGACTTCATAACCAAACTTAAGATATATATACGGACAAAAGAGTTGCTTAATAGTCTGCCACGTTTAATACAATAATAATATTTGAATGATGATACCTTTGTTCCATAAATCATAAAGTAACAAAGCACATGAACCTAACGTTCTTACTTTGTTGAACTTTTGCATTTTCAGGGTAACCTTGTAAATACAAGGAGACATACCATGTGATTACATTTAATTGGAATAAGTAAACATGTATATATATTAATAACCAACATGTCTTATCATCAACACATATTCGTTATTATTGATATACAGGTTTACTTATTCCTTCCACTTACGGTTTCAGATGATACTTTTTTTAAAAAATTTATTTAACCAAAATGTGTATTGTTATTATATATGTAGAAGACATCAACAGTTTATTGAAATTCACAACAATAAGAGGGCCATACATACATATACTATTGGAGTAGTGCCGTTGTCATGTAATATATTGATAGTGTATTAATGGTATATAATTGTGCATATATATATATATTGATATAATATTTATATATTGCAAATTAAGTTTTCTTTTTTAATTTCAACCAATTCAAATCTCGTTTAAACCATCTAGGAATGACAATGGGATGGTGCAGGGTGGGAACAAGGTGAGTTTAACAGCTTGGAAGTGTAAAAAATCGATTGAAAGTTGGAATGAGAAAAGCCAGTTGGAAATGTGTGAAAGGTGGACTTGTAAGGATGGATTCAAGGAAGGTGAAAGGGTCCACGATCAGTGAACCCAACCTTGAACCCGAACCTTATGAAAAATATTTTAAGGCGAGGGTCTAAGGAAGGGTTCAGGGACGGTGGAAAGATACACAGTCTTTGAACCCATCCTTGAACCCGAACCTTATGAAAAATATTCTAAGGCAAGAGTCTAAGGAAGGTTTCAAGGACGGTGGAAAGGTCATAAATAAAATATTTTCCGTACTTCTCTTCACTTCTCATTTATTTTTTTCTTGGTTGTGTTGGAGCACCTTCTCTCCAACTTTCAAGTGTTGGAGCACTTTCTCTCCAACTCACAATATTTTTTTTCTTGGTTGTGTTGGTGCACTTCTCTCCGACTTTCAAGTCTTGGAACATTTTCTCTCCAACTCACAATATTTTTTCTCTTGTTTATGTTAGAATACTTCTCTCCAACTTCCAAGGTTGATGCCATTTCCACCAGCGCATTTTCTTTTTGGTTGTTTTTTGTTTTGTTTTTGGTGTTTGAGCACTCTTTCTCCAACTCTCGTTGATGCCCTTCCCATCAACTCCTTTTCTTTTTTAGTTTTTTGTTCTCTCTCTAACTTTTAATTTAGAGAAGAGTTTCTTCCTCTTGTGGTTGGTTGCACTTCTTTAAATCTGCAATATTTTTGTAAGTCTTTTCCTCCTAGTATGTTCTTTTCATGCATATATTATTCGTCTAGCCTTTATCAACATGATCATTGGCTAGACGGGCGGCATATATGTGTCATAACCGCCCGTCGACAGTGAAAACTCTAAGATCTTCTACCAGGATCGTAGAAGCTTTGATACCAATTGTGAAGGAAAATATTTTATTTATAAACACAAAAGTTTGATATGTTTCTGTATATTTCTATATATTGCTATATATTTTTTGTATATTGAAAATAATTAGTAACATCTCTATTTATAAAGGTAAAAACCAAATTAAACTAAGACTAAGAATTATTCTAACTAAAAAATCCTCATTAAACATAAATAACAAATCCTAAACAACTTAGGATTCCTACTCCAACTTTAAATTATTATTTCCAACAAATGTTTTTTTTAAATAGCTTTTTCTGAAAAGTTCTTTTTAAAAAAATAATAATTTGTGTTTGACAAATTCATTTGAGAAGTGCTTTTGATAAGCAATTTGTGTTTGACTATCTTTTAAAAAAGATTATTTTTGAGAGTCAAATTACGAAAAAGGGCAAGTATCAATGTGCTCTTAAGATTATTTTATAGAGAAAAACTATTTTAAATATCTAATACATAACTTTAATTAAATTTTTATTTTAATTAAATTAAAATATACATATTCAAATTATTAATCAATATTATACATAGATAAATAAATGTATAAAATATTAATATAATGTTAACATGATGAGTTAAATATAATTAAAAATATCAAGCAAAATAAATTTAAAAACTATTCCACAAATAAAATCACTACATACGAAAAACTTACCACAAAAATAAATAAAGTTCTTCATACATCATAATTCTTTTCAGTAATTTCATCCCTAATTTTATCACACAATATTTTCATAGTAGTAGATGATCTGTCTTGTATTTCTGAAGGTACCTCTGAAGACCGCCCCCCCCCCCCCATCTTCTTCTTTGATTTCTGTAATAATGTCTTCATTTGCAAAATAGTTGAAGTCTTTATTAGTGGTAGAGCGTCGTTATATGAAATTATGTATAGTCATAGTACTTGTAACAAGATGAAGTGTTCAATTTATAAAATAATATATAAAATATAAATAATAATATATAAACTTAAATAAAATAAAAAGTTTATCATATAAAATAAAAAATAAAATTATTTAATGAAACTTAACAAAGCTTATGAAATATGTTAATTAATTAATAAGAGATATATTGATAAATATGTAAATATATAAGTGATATTTTAGTCTTCAAAAAATAATTTTCTGTTTCTGCTTTTTCCAAGAAGCAGATATTTTAGCTTCTTCCCAACTGCAGAAAAACCACTTCTGCTTCTATTTAAAAGCACTTTTGAGGGTTTGCCAAACACTTGATTTTTCAAAAAAAATAATATTTTTTTCTTAAGAAAAAAGCACTTTTAGGCTTCCAACAGCAATGCAAAACATACTCTAAATTGAAAAAAGATAAAAAAATATATTTAAAGGGTTAATAAGGGTTTCGATTGGAAGAGGATAAATCAAGATAATTAATTTATTACCAAAAGAACCATTGTAGAATAGGGATAATGAAGAGACATGATCAGTTTTAAAACTTGCATCTTTTTGGTGAAAACGTGAAGGTGGGAGTTGTATTTTGCGTGGGTAACTTCTCAATTTAAATAATGTACATATTAATTTAAATTAATTTTTAATATACTGTTTTTTGTTTTACCTCTCTTATAATATATAGATTTTAGTTAATTTTTAATATACTATTTTTTGTTTTGCCTCTCTTATTATATAGATATACAATATAGATATATAAAAAATGTATTTTAATAATTAAATTGAATAGAAGCTATGATTAAAAGACTGTCACAATTTGAATTTTAAGAAACTGTAAAAAAGAATTATTGTAAAAAGTTGAAAAATATAAATTAACTATCAGAATTTATTTTATTTACTTAAAATAAAAATTAAAGGAAAAATAGTAACTAATTACTACCTAACTTAACTAATTTGTCTTAAAATTAACACATGTGTTGATTCTATGTTGCCACTTGGCTTGATCCTAGGCTAGACTTTCTTCCTTTTATTTATATACTACTCCTTCCATTTCAATTTGATTGAATTATTGAGACGTTTTTAAAATTAATTAATTGTTCAATCTTCAAGATTACTTAGAATATTCTTTCAATTTTACCCTTCATTAACTAGTATTGGAAATAGTTATTATGATTAATATTTAGTTATTTTAATCATAAATTTGACAATAATTAATAAGGATAAAAATGAAAAGTTATGCCTAATTTATGTCTTAATCTCCTTTTCTTAAAAGGTATGAAACACCTCAATAATTTAATTAATTTGAAATGAAGGAGTAGTATATATGTGCCCGCGTGATGCATGGATAACGACAAAAGAAAAAAAAATTACATTATACAATATGCACGAACTACTTTATAAAACTAAAGAGTACTTCTGAAGCAATATTGTTTCAACAAAATGTAAATGTAACATAAATATTTAAACAATAATTATGAAATATTCTAAAAGTCTAGATTTATTTAGACTAATATACAAATCAGTATAAAATGTTAGCATATTTTACTCATAATTCAATGCCTTCATTGCATTGGATGAATCACAAGTATACTTTAATAAACACCCATTATCGTAACAATGACCTACAATCAGGGCTGGATTTAGCAAGGGTTATGGGGTGTCACAGAGCACTGCTTTGTCAGAAACTTTTACTAAATAGGTACATACTGAAAAAGGAAAACATATACAAAGGATATATAAGGTATATGTCACACTCCTTCAACCAAAATCATGCGCAATTCAGTTGGTTCGTAGTTGGACCTACGGCAGTAAGTCCAACCGTTGGTGGAGGTCCAACAGTTATTTTTAAGGGCTTTTTGGTCCTTTCTCTAATATTTTTAACTCTATACTAAGTCGTTTTGCCTTATACCCTAGGCCCTATTTAAACATTTTAATTCCCAAATTACCCAATCGAACTCATTCTCCTAATTTTTCAAAGTTCTTCCCCAAATATTTCTCTCTATAAGGAAGAAGAAGAGGAGGAGATAAGGTTCCATTCAAGTCTCAATTCCCACCATAGCTTTTCGACTTTGAACTTCAAGGTATGATAGTATTCACCTATGAAGCTCTTTCTTCCATAGGGTTCCTAAAATCTCCAATTTTGTAAAGTTAGATTCTCCAATCAAATTAGGATTTTTATTCAATTGTCATTGGTTCCTTTCAATGTTGATCCAATTGATCGTTTTATGTCTTTTTATGCATGAATTGAAGTAATTACATGTATTTAAGTTGAATCCCCATGAACCCATGCATGACCCCATAAATTCTAGACTATGATGATATGATGTGGATTTTGAACTATGATAGATGAATTTATGAAGATATGCATGTTTCTTTATCAAATTGATGAAAATGATTTAAGTTTACTTTGAGAG